CTGTCAGCTGTGGACGAAATCATGGGGGGTGGTGTAGTTAGGCGGTGGGGCTGGAACGGGACAGGGTACAAATGTGAGGGTAAATGGAATCGTCGATACGGGACTGAAGACAAGTTACCGCATTGCCGAGATGAGACTGAAAGAAAGTTACCATACTTAATTATGAACTTCTGAATGTTAGGCAGCAGCAGCGGCCAGAAGGTAGTTATCTGTATTAAGGAATTAAATGGAAGGCATGTATAAATACTACTCTAACTTGCGATGCAAACCAGAGCCGACTTTAATACAATTTTTGCTTGTTGTTACCCACTGTTTTGGGCACGAGAGGCGAGTAAACTCTTCAAACATCTACAAGAGTGAGTGGTCTATGTTTGCCCTAATGTCGGACGAACAGCTGAGAACAAGGCTGCTCCACCCACATGGCCCCCTGGGAACACAAGGCTTGCATCACTTGCATTGCGAACAATATGAGGTTGTGAGGGGAGGAGGGAAAGGGTGGAGGGGGAGGACTTGCTCCACTCACCCCACATGCTTGGCCTGGTCACTGGGCTGCTTCTTTTCACTTCTTTCTTTTTCTGCTTTTGGCTGCATGCAAGGAAAGCAACAAAAGTCTTTCTTTCTGTGCCCCAAACTCCGTCAGAAATAAGTCTTTGGGACCCTGCAAGGTATCCTACTCCAAGAGGCTGTACCAGCATGACAGGTCTCACAAAGACTCATTTCTGGCAGAATTTGGGGTAGAGAAAGAGAAACTTCTGCTGCTTTCCTTTTCATGAAGCCAAAAGTCTCTCTCTCTCTCTCCCCCACTGAGAACAGAGATAAAGGCAGTATCCTGCAATCCCAAATAAAGAACGATCAATCAGTAGGAAAACGGGGTGGGGAATTTTCCTTCTGACTTTTTGTGGGTTGTCCGTGGGATTTAAAATTATGAGTTTGGTGGTCCCTGAGGTTGGCAACCCCTGCTCAAGAGAAGCTTCGCCATCCCTCACTGGCCACCCGGAGGACCACTGGATGGTGGCACAGGCTGTCCACTTCCCTAGGCAGCAGAGGGCAGCAAAAATGGGTTCTAAGTTACTTTTTTCAGTGCCATCATCAGGGTGGGCTGCTACGGGTTCACCTGGGTTCGGGTGGACCTGTAGCTAACATTATGGCTGGTTCGGCAAACCGCCAAATCCCACCCCTGCTGGCCCCACCCACCCCACCCTGCCCCTCCCAGGAGTTTCCACACGGCCCGTTTTGGATGCACGGTAAGTGCAGGGCCTGTGCAGAGGCCGGGGGGGGGGAAGTAGGGGCCTCCCTAAGTTCCGGAAGTCCGGATATAGGCATGTTTTGGGTCTCCAGAGCCCAGGGGAGGCAGTTTTCGCCCTCCCAGAGGCTCAAGGAATGCCTCCGGAGCCTGGGGAAGGTGAAAATCCTCCCCCGCTCCACCATGGTGCAGGAGGCCAACTAGGCGACACCACCATGGCTACGCCCACACCCACCCAGCAACCAGGCAGGGAACCTATTGCTGAAATTTTTGAAGCCCACCCAGTGGTGATATTCTACCAGTTTGGCCCCGTTCTGCTGAGCCGGTAGCAGTGATGAGCAGCGGAGATCGAAACGGTTCTCTCCACCACTCTGCTGTTGGGCCCACCTGCTTGTCCTGGCTCCCATACTCAACATTATCCTCTGAATTTGAAGCACAGCTGCTTTGCGCGGCACAGAAGAGTGCCGCGCGGCAGTTGCTGAAGCAATCGTGCAGGATCGTGCAGGCTTGCAGGAGGTGGGTTAGAACACCTCTATGCCTAAGCAAAGTGTACGTTCGGTGCGCACGCACACACAAAGTGTGTGCACACACGTAAAGCGTGCCCACCAAGCCGCGCCCACTGAACCGGTGGTAAAAATATTTGAATCCCACCACTGAGCCCACCCTTGGCCATCATTTGCTAGACCAGTACTTGCATACAGCTCATCAGTCTGGAAACCACATTACGTATCTTATATTAGCACAGGTGAGAAAGTCCAGAAATATTTCACAAGAAGAGTTCTCCACTCTTCTACTTGTTGCAGAATACCTTATGCCACCAGACTTGAAATTCTAGACCTAGAAAACCTTGAATTGCGCCATCTTCGGTGAGATGTAAGTATGGTATATAAAATCATACATTGCAATGACTTACCTGTCAATGAATACTTCAGCTTCAACCATAACAACACAAGAGCACACAATAGATGCAAACTCAAGGTTAACCGCACCAAAATTGATTGCAGGAAATACGACTTCAGCAACAGAGTGGTCAATATCTGGAATACTCTACCTGACTCTGTGGTTTCTTCCCCAAACCCCAAAAACTTTAACCTTAGACTATTGACCTCACCCCTTTCCTAAGAGGTCTGTAGGGGGCATGCATAAGCGCACCAACGTGCCTACCATCCCTATCCTATTGTTTCTTTTATTTTTCTTATATGTATCCATGTATTCATAACTGTGTTTTCACTTATACCTATTATCTTGTAAGCAATTGACAACTCAAAATAAATAAAAAATAAATAAATCGTAACTTTGAACAGTCACTGAATGAATAAGTCGAAGACTACTTGAGCAAGTCAAGGAAAAGATCCTTCAAAACTTTCGAGTATTCTAGTTAATCACAACAATGTTGTCTGCCTTTCAGGCTGTGATGTCCTTCAAGGAGGTGGCCATGAATTTCTCCGAGGAGCAGTGGGCTCTATTGAATTCTGACCAAAAAAACTTTCACAGAGAAGTCACGCTGGAGAATTCTAGGATTGTGGCTTCTCTCAGTAAGGATCTGTCCTCATATCTGAATTTTTTTCAAATGGGTGTCAAAGGCCTTTTATTCCATGAAGTAATCAACCTATTTTTTTCTTCCAAGAATTAGCATCCAGTTTGGGTCACCACGCTATAAAAATGTTGAGACTTCAGAAAAAGTGCAGAGAAGAGCAACCAGGATGATGAGGGGACTGGAGACTAAGGCATACGAAGAACGGTTACAGGAACTGGGCCTGGCTGGTCTAGTGAAGAGAAGGACCAGGGGAGACGTTATAGCAGTCTTCCAATATCTGAGGGGCTGCCACAGAGAGGAAGGATTCAAGCTATTTTCTAAAGCACTCAAAGGCCAGACAAGGAATATGGATGGAAACTGATCAAGGAGAGATTTAACCTGGAAATAAAGAGAAATTTTCTGATAGTGATAATAATCAACCATTGGAACAGCTTGGCTTGGGAGGCTTTATCACTGGAGGCTTTCAAGAAGAGATTGGACTGCCATTTGTCAGAAATGGTCTAGGGTTTTCTGCTTGGGCAGGGGGTTGGACTAGATGACCTACACGGTCCCTTCCAAATCTGTAAATCTGTGTACAAATCTATAGAAAGAAGATGGAAGAAAAAACCCCCTAAAGCTATGAGATATGACTACCGACTTTTTCTTCAACAAATATTAACAAATCTATTAGTTCCCCTCTTGCTAACTTGGGGATCTTCAAATTTGGCAACTTTAAGACTTGTGGACTTCAACTCCCAGAATTCCCCAGCCAGCATTCTGGGAGTTGTAGTCCACAAGTCTTAAGGTTGCCAAGTTTGAACACCGCTGTGCTAACTCTTACAAAAATCCCTCTCACCATGGCCCTTTGATGATTTGTAGACTTTCAACTCCCAGAATTCTTGAGCCAGCACTGAAATTCTGGGAGATGAAGTCCACGGTGCTGGCTCAGGAATTCTGGGATGCTCAAAAGATGGAAGCAAGGCCGGTGGGAGGTGTTCCCCCTACTGCTAATCTAGGCGCAGAAGTGCGAAGGAGACTCTCTTTTGTGCCTAGATAGCAGTGTTCTAGGCGATAGCACTGATACGCTGATAGCAGGGTTCCAACGTTTGAGGGGCTGCCACAAAAAAGAGGGGGTCAAATTATTTTCCAAAGCAACCAGAGACCAGGACAAGAAGCAATGAATGGAAACTAATCAAGAAGGGAAGCAACCCGGAATTAAGGAGAAACTTCCAAACAGTGAGGACAATTAACCAGTGGAACAGCTTGCATCTAGAAATTGTGGGTTCTTCATAATTGGGTTTTTAAAGAAAAGACTGGACAGCTACTTATCTGAAATGGCCATGTCTCTTGCTCGAGCACAGGGCTGGACAAAAAGACCTCCAGAACCCTTCCAGCTTTCTCTTCTCTTCTTATTCTATTTATTTCTTATTCTATTCTATTCTATTCTATTCTATTCTATTCTATTCTATTCTA